TAGTTGTTGCAAAGAAGAGATTACTAAAATAAAATTAAAGAGAGAAAACTCTTTATCTTTCAATTCTTCTAGTTGGTTCACTATTACAATATCATGATGATGAGTCATGGACATCATGATTGTGAAGAGGCATATGCAAAGCGCTAGGGTTTTACACCAAAATACCATGGAACGACAGTCCCAAGGCCAATTTTTAAAACAGGGCTTATATGGTAAGCTTAATTTTTTAACGAACTTATAAGTTAGGCTCAAACTGAAACCCCACCGCACCAAAACCGAATGATTTGGTTTCACTTCGGCTCTTGCTGTCAAACCAAACTAAACCGAACTGTAATAAATATTAGTTTCAATTTTTGTCTTACTTCAACATCAAACGGCACCAAACCATGCCTACCCCTACTTTCATTGCTTAATGATAGTCCGATGTAACTAAGGTTGAAAAGAAAAGGTAAAAAGTAAATATCGAAATCTTAACGAGGAGCAGGTGTAAAAAGAATTTGAAATTGGGGCGAGGTCTATAAAGACTATAAAGGATGCAGATAGACTAAAACTAGGGAATTACATAATCTAAACTACATATTAATAAAACACCCATTGTTAACTAAAACCCTATGAAATTACCAGTTTAACCCTCTAATTCAAACTTAACATGAATAAGAAATGTGGGCAGAAATGTAATTTCATACAACCACTCTTTTTTTTTTTCAAAGCCTCACCTACATGTAATTCTAACATATCTCTAATTTGTGCCTCATTTGTGTCTCCTCGCTAATATGTCTCCTCGCTATATATATCTATAGACACTTTTTTTGTGTCAAATATATATATACACTGAATCAGGTATGGATATACACACACACACACACACACACTTATTGAATCATTTATAATTTTCTTGCTGAAATATTCATATATAAATTTGACTCTTATATATTGTATTTTTCATTTTTCCTTAAGGATATGTATGGAGAACATAATCCCAGTAAAGCATATGAAAAGCCATATTTGAAATAGAATTCTTCACTTTCTTTTCGTGGGTGTTGAGTCGCCAAGGTGAACAAGGATTAATGAAGATAAAAATGATTCTAGGAGTTAAGGATTGATGAAGACAAAAACAATTCAAAGCAGTGGGACTACTACTTATTGGGTAAAGAGTTGAGTAGGAAACTGAGGGCTTTAGTAATTATCGATTGTGTGCATGTTGCTGTTGTTATTCTCGTGCAGAAAATACAAAGCTCCATTTTTCACTATATACAAAACTAGAACTGTAGTGCTCTATATTTCAGTTTGAGGCGAGTGAGATTATAACAAATATGAAATCATCATTCATAGTTGAGGTGACTGAGTTACACAAAACCAAAAGTGTAGTGCTATATATGTCTTTTAAATGCAAGAACTGATTTGTGACTAAATGAAAGCTCTTGCATGTGCTTGGTGTCAAACAAATTTCACTCTAAAAACAAAGTAAAATTCATTCTTTTCAATCAAACTATTTTATGAGTCATTAGCAAATCAAAAGAACTGATAGTCATTACTTTCCAAACATCAAACTAAATAAGATGGATCTTTAAAAATTTAATCCCAAACTGAGTAAATTCCTTGAGCACTCTTCTCATAGCATCTAGCACTTTCACATCACTATCATGTGTCTTCGTGGTGCTTGTCATTTGAGAGCTTATCAAAGCTTAATCCTTCGTTGTTGGTAATTGTATCTGCACCTATATGCATATATAATGACATAAAACCAGTCATTCAAGAAAGAAATTATAAATGAAAAAAGAAGAAAGTATTAACCAATTGCAAAAGAGTTACCTGCAATAAATTAACCATGCTAGTTGGACCTTGCGGATAACTGCTTGTACGATTTTGGATCCTAAATAGTATTGCTAATATACAAATAAACATAAGTGCAAAAAAAATATGCTAAGAAGTAAACAATATATTTAAGAAAACAAGGGCAAGCTTTTGTAGAAGTATGCTTGTATAAGTGAACCTATATACCTAGAAAAATCACATGGTTGTCCAAAATGCATGTCTAGGCATTATATTAGGTTGACCAACCTAAATTTATAAAACCGTCCAAAATTAGATGGAAGTCATCACTAAATGAAAGTAAAATAAATGTTCAAAACCATAAGTTTCAATGAATCCACAAATCACAAGGCTACATAACGATTGCAATATAGGAGTGTGAGGTAGAGCTGTTTGTATAGAATTGGCAACAGAGTCCACAATTGAATATTTTAGTTCCTTATTTCAAGGCTTTTTCTTTTTTGTGGCTTTTTCTACAGCATTTGTTGGCCTCTTAGAACTTCCAGCAACTTTTTCCTTTTTTTTGATTCCTCTAACTTGAATGACATTATCATTAATGCATATAGTCTCACTGAGCTCAAATGCACTCACTTGAGTTGGTTGTTGAGTTGTTTTCTCCTTCAAACATGCATCAATCTCTCCCAACGTGTCTTGTTCAGTCTTAATATAGCAATTTCATATGCTTTCGGCGACTCTACTACTCGTGTTGCTGATTGAATATGCAATCGACATAGCTCTTTATAACGCCTTACAATGTTGGCATTTCGGTCATCTTTACTTAAGATGTTGAGAGTAACTCTTACACTTCTAGACTTGATATTTTTTGTCCATCTCTCCAAGACGTACTGAGTTGGAATGCTTGTAATATTTCTTGTAGAAAGAACCTGTAGAGCATGTGCACACAAGATTCCTGCAAAATCATACTTCTTACAACTATATAAAACAATATTGTCTGTTGAGTCAAATGTGACTGTATGGTGCCAATTCTTCCTATGAGGGATGATTTCATATATGCTAATGCTTCCAATCTCACCATTGAAGATCAAGACACAATCATGAGTTTTGCTTAACTTGTTTTGAAACCATTTAAGCACTGCTGGTGTATAAATACATGTTGCATGCTTTAATATTTCTACTGGAAATGACAATGCAGGGGAACTTTGACTTGCTTTAAATTCAGCTCTTAACTTTGATACCGACGATCGTCAACCAACCTTTCAAAATGTTTAACAAATTGTAGCAAATCATATTTGTAGTTAACATACTTCTTGATAACACTAGTCATACTTTCAGCACAAAAAGTTTGCCACCCCTAAACTAATGCCCATTTCTCTTTTATGGCAAACAATCGATTCAACCAATAATCGTCTGTAAGATTATATTTCTGCAGCATGTTATTCCAAGCATCTAGAAAATCATCTTCGTCTTCATGGTCGTATATGCAACTACTAAACTCCTTGGCAAAATCATTAAAATTCTCAAAAACACTTTTAAGTTGCGTAGCTGCATTTTGGTATATGTGCCAGAAGCATAAATGATGACATGTTTGTGGCCACTTTTCAAACAATGCTTTGCCCATTGCTGCATCTTGATCAGTTAGAATAGGTTTCAGTTTTTTTTCCAGACATAGCCTTGAGAAGAGTATCAAATAACCAATTGAATATTGCAGCAGTCTCTACATATAATAATGCAACACCAAATACAACAGTTTGTTTATGATTGTTGACACCAACAAACATCGCAAAAGGCTTTCCTTCTTTATTTTTTTGATATGCGGTATCAAAACATACAACATCACCAAAATAATCATAATCCACCATCATCCTTGAATCAGCCCAGAAGATATTAGTAATCGAATCATCTTGATCCACTTGTATAGCATAAAAGAAATTAGGATCATTCAACTACATTTTTGTAAATATTCCAACACTCCGTTTGTATCACCTAACTTCATCTCTCTTGTTTGCTTGGAATGCAAGTAGTTCTTATAGTCATCATAAATGAATCCAAGATTTTGACGACCACCAGCTTGTTTACTCATAAATTCGACACTTTCTCTTAGAGCAATTCCTAAACTATCAGCCATATCAACTTCAACTTTTTGTGCAAGAGACATGTTCTTATGCGACCTAAAAAATGAGTCTTACAAGGACTTGATGTTGGGTGTGTATGCTCAAGAATAAATTTAATAACCTTATAGTTCTTTGCCGATCGACCACAACTGATATTGGGATCACACTTTTTTTTTTTTTAATGATGCCCTTCCGAAGAGCAAACAAAAAGTCTATCCATCAACTTGCCATCCTTATTTGTATGAGCTTTACTTTTTTGAATGCTAAAGCCAATGATATAAGCATATGCATTGTAAAATTCAAAGGCATCTTCTTCTGTCTCAAACTCCATGCCTAATATTGGAACTAATTGTTTCCGAATATCAGTTTTTTCCAAATCTACTGTTTCATTACTTTCATAGTTTATAACAGAATTCAAGTCAATACTTGTTTCATAATTCAGAAGTGACTTTTCATATGCTTTTGTTCCATTGGCTTCACTGGGATTATCTTCTCCATCCATGTCCTTAAGGAAAAATGAAACATGCAATATATAAGAGTCAAATTTGTATGTGAATATTTCAACAAGAAAATTATAAATGGTTCAATAAGAGTGTGTGAGTGCTGTCTCTAAAATGTGTCTCATTTGTGTCTTCTTAATATGTTGACATGTGTTCTTTAACTTACCTTAAAACTTAATTCTGTTAATTTTATTAAAATTCTAAAAATCTCATTCTACACTCTTTATAAGTGTAATTTTCTTTCTGATTATAGAAAGTTTGAAATGTCAAATGAGATTTTAGGAATACTAATCTTATTTGGGTTTGGTCACCTCGTTAACCCAACAGTTTTTTATTATTGAGAATTGTTATTAGTATTCCTAAAATCTCATTTGACATTTTAAACTTGCTATAATTAGAAAAAAAAAATTACACTTATGAAGAGTGTAGAATGAGATTTTTAGAATGCTAATAAAATTAACATAATTAAATTTTAAGGTAAGTTAAAGAACATGTGTCAACATATTAAGAAGACACAAATGAGACACATTTTAGAGACAACAGAGCTGGAGCCGCCCAGTCCGGATCTTCCGCAACTTGTTTCAGGCAAGATTTCTTCCCCCCACCCCTAAAAGTCCTATTCACCCCATTTTTTTATTATTTACTTTCTTCTCTTCTTATATTAAACCACAGCTTCTTCCTCTTCCTCTCTCCTCCTTCTTCTCCTTCACCTTCTCTCTCTCTCTTCAACTTTCAGCTTATCTCTCTAAAAACCTAGCTCAACTTTGAAGCATTTGAGCTAAAACCCAAATGGGTTATGCATGCATTGTGCTTAGGAGTCGTTAATCAAACTTAATTAGCCAGCTTAATCTACCAGCTTAACCTCGTGAGTATCGTTCTTCAGTAACGCTCAAGGCAGTTTCAGTTTTTCGGGGGAGTGAGAAACAAAAATGTAAAAATTTGAAATTGGTTTTTTCTTTCAAGTGGCTGTTTGTTTGCTGAGAAAATTTAATTAATTAGTTTCTTTTTGTGACGATCCCTCCATTTTTTGGTTCCTCAGATTTATTACAAGCTGACAAAAAGCAAACCCGAAACGTCTATTAGTCAGATACAAATACATGGCTCCAGCGAGCAATTGGTTGTCCTTCTCTCTCATGTCTCCCATGGAAATGCTGAGGTCCTCTGAGTCCGATCAATCTCCCTTCGTCCCCTACGACGCGTCCTCCGCCGCCTCCCCCCAGTACTTCCTGGACAACTTCTATGCCAGCAACGGTAAGTGGGTTCTTTCTCTTTTGTCCGATCGAGCTTTCTTTGTGCTCTGTTTGGTTGCCGAGAAAATAGTTTACAACCGGTTTGTGATAAGAGTTCACTGAGAAAATATGATTAAACAACATTTTTTTTTTTTTTTGTCTTTAATCGCCGACTGAAATCTTATTTTTGGGTCACGTGAAAATCTAAAAAACTTGTCATCTGTTTGGCTGATGAGGGAGGTGAATCGGAGCAAAAGTACAAGAAATTTCTGTTTGGTTGGCGAGAAAATATAAATGTTCTCTGTATCTTAACTGCATGTGCGTAATAATCAGAGTTTTTGTTTTATTTTCCTTATTTTTTTAAGGGTGGCAGACGAACCCAAAATCCCAAGTGTTTTTCACGGACGGTGAGGATCAAAGAAAGCAACAAGGCCAGTCCGATTCGCCGAATCTGTCACCGTTCGTCCACCCACAGAGCCACACCCAGCACATCCCGAAGCTCGAGGACTTTCTCGGCGATTCGTCATCAATGGTGCGCTATTCCGATAGCCAAACAGAGACCCAGGACTCATCGTCCCTGACCCACATGTACGACCAGAGTTCCACCTACTTCGGCGGCGACCACCATCACCACCACCAACGGCAGGAAGATCTCAAGGCGATTACCGGGTTCCAAGCCTTTTCGACCAACTCGGGCTCGGAGGTGGAGGACTCCACGTCCATGGGCCGGACGACTCAGCATCAGCAGCAGCTCGCTTGCGCCGAGTTCGGGGGTCATTCCATTGAGACGAACGGGAACGAGTTGGGGGTCTACAACTCCAGCTGCGCGACGAATGCTTTGTCGCTTGGAGTCGCCACCAGTCAAAGCTCTTCCGATCAGAAGGCCATTGTCACCGTCGACAACGACGGCTCAAAGAAGATTGCTGATACTTTTGGTCAGAGGACTTCGATTTACAGAGGGGTCACCAGGTGAGAAGAAATCCATCCCATAATCCCTTTTTTGTCATTTAATTAATTAATTATTGAATTAAAGTTGATATTTTCCATATTTAAAAAGGGGTTTCTGATTAAATTTGGTGGGAATGCAATGCATGCGTCTGGCAGGGAATAATTAAGGGAGTTGGGCTTTTAATAAATGTTGGGTTTTGGGCTTTTAAATCGACTTTCTGTGTTAATTGTGGGGTTTGAGGATTTGACTGATTAATTTAAGCTAATGAAAAAGTAAATAAAAATGGATAAAAAAAGTAGAAAGACTGTCTGCTACTCTGAATCTATCTGTGTGTATTTTTGGCCCAGACACCGGTGGACGGGTAGATACGAAGCGCATCTGTGGGATAACAGCTGTAGAAGAGAGGGTCAGGCCAGGAAAGGGCGTCAAGGTCTCTCTCTCTCTCTCTCTCTCTCTCTCTCTCTCTCTCTCTCTCTCTCTCTCTGCATTCTATGTTCATAGATACAGTATAAAAACATGTGTAATTGTTTTCACTTATAGGCATGGAGATTTTCTAGTATGCTTCCGTATATCTATGTGTAGTCGTTAAATCTTTGGTCTGATGCGATAATGAAGATAGACGGTCAAAAATGTTTGTGCATATTATAGTCCAGAGCAGAATAGTATTTTCGTACACATAATGCATTAGAGTAAAAACTGTAGCACTGAAAAGAAGCTTGCATGCAAATGCAATATACAAAGGCAAAACCAATGAAGGAAACCTTCTTTTTCATTAGTCTCGCATGATTGATTGATGCTGTTATCTATGTACCACAAATTGGTACGTTCGTTTACTGTTTCGTCTTTTCTGAGTTTCCCATCTTTTCTTTTCTTTGGATAAGAATTCTCTCTTTTTTTTTGAAGATTTTAAAGATTATTTTATCTTATAATTTTTGTTATGTATATTTAATTTTAATTAAAAAATTTTAAATAAATTTTAATCGAAAAATGAATGGACACGATAAAGTAATTTTAAGATCCTCGTAAAAAGAATGCCGATAGGAACTCTTTTCTTTTCATTTCTCTTATTATATTTCTTTCTTTCAATCAATCTTTGACATGATCAGATGGGCCGCCATTTTGTTCATCTGGGTTTTTAAATTTCCTTGCTTTGTTGTCTCACAGTTTCTTCCGTCTCCTTCTTCTCCACCTGTGAATTTACAGAATTGCAGAGCTCAGCGACTCTGATATTTTTTCTGACCACCTTCAACTTTTGCTTTTGCTTTTGCTTTCATCTCCCTCTCTCTACAATTTTGGGTTTGACCGGAGCACCCACTTGAATTGGTTATTATATTATACTCCTTTAACAACGCCGAAACTTGTTGAAAGTGACCTCCCTGGACTGGAGCCTGATAAAGTGCGAGACCTAGATTCTGGTCCACACTTGGTCAACTTGATGTGTGCAGTAGGACGAGGGATCCTCACATCACATCAGTTCATTATACATTATATAATCAGTATTTTTTAAATGTTGCTTATGTTTAATTTTAAATAAAATAATTTAAAATAATTTTTTACTATACGATATATGATAAATGTATAAGATGTAAAGATCTTTAAAATTCTCATAAAAAAATACGGATAGCTTCCAAATCCATGTATAGTTATATGTACTATTGCCTGCGAGGTAAAAAGTTAGATAAATATTGGAGTGTAACTTTAGACAAGCTGAGTCCAAAAAGTAAAGAGTAGTTGTGATTGGGACTTTTATGCATAATTTCACACTAATCGAGATTAAATTCATTTAAATTATAATTAGTAAAATTCAAATTTAGATGCAAAGTGGAGAGAAATTATTGTTTTAACTAACTTGATTAAGTTCAAATCTTCGAACATTATCTATTTTAGCTGAAAATTTTGACTGCTATTTGAGCTGATGTTGAATTCTTTTTACTTTTTGCATAAAATGTGGGATTATGGATATATTGCTGTCACTCAATCATTGATCCGGTTCTACAGTTTATTTGGGTAAGAAATTTATATTTATTAATTTAATTGGAGTAAAAATAAATTTACTTCTAATTATGTGACCTATATTTAAAAGCTGATTAAACTTTGTGAAATTTTCAGGTGGATATGACAAGGAAGATAAGGCAGCAAGGGCTTATGATTTGGCTGCTCTCAAATACTGGGGTCCTTCCGCGACCACCAACTTCCCTGTAATGCACAAAGAATTAATTCTAATATTTCGAATGTTCTTTTGTACTGAGAAGGTGGACGGCAAAGTACTTAACAATTTGGTTTTCAAATTCTCAGGTTTCAACCTACAGCAAAGAACTGGAAGATATGCAGCATATGACCAAGCAAGAATTCATTGCCTCTCTCAGAAGGTTTGCTCTGACTGACCCCCTTTGGATTTTTTTTTTTTTTTTCTGTATGTTATGCGGTTAATTAAACATTTCTCCCCAACTTTTCTCTTGCAGGAAAAGCAGTGGTTTTTCAAGAGGAGCTTCTGTTTACAGAGGGGTTACAAGGTCAGTACATCGATATTCAAATCATTCTTCGTTACAGTTTGTTTCTTAAACCCTGAATTGTTATATATGTATTACATTTCCATTTATGCACTGTTTAATTCAATATTGCAGGCATCATCAACAAGGCAGATGGCAAGCAAGAATAGGCCGTGTTGCCGGGAACAAAGACCTATACCTTGGAACATTCGGTAACGACTTTAACCAGCATGTTTTGTTTGGATCTCTATAGTACTTTTTTGGCTTAAAATTACTTCACAGTGACATACTGATTACTTGAGACAAATTCAAGTCTCCTGAGTTGATTTAGTTTTGTTTCCCAAGCATGAATTCTTTAGATACCCTGATTGATTTGTTAGTTTTTATCTGGATTAGTCTGATACCGCACCACATTGAAATTGGATGCTTCCTGGTCCTTGGAAGAGAATTATCCTGCACATTTTGATAATGTCCTGGCCTTTTATTGTGGACAGCTACTGAAGAGGAGGCTGCTGAGGCGTATGATATAGCGGCCATAAAGTTTAGGGGTATTAATGCGGTTACAAATTTTGAGATGAACCGATACGACGTTGAAGCTATTGGCAAGAGTTCTCTTCCTGTTGGTGGGGCAGCAAAGCGCTTAAAGCTCTCACTCGAAGCAGAAGAGCAGAGACCATCTGTGAACCATGATCAGCAGCATCCTCAATGCAGCATTGGGAGCAACATCAATTTCACTTCCATGCAGCCAGTTCAATCCATACCATGTGGGATCCCATACGATGCTGCAGCTGCCAACACTTACTATCCCCACCTCTTCCACCAATTTCAACCCAACTACTATGGCGCGTCGGATTCAGCTGGACTGAACCCTAACGTTGCAACTCAGATGAGCATGATGCCGCAGCAGCCAGCTGAGTTTTACATATGGCCTAATCACCAATCCCATTGATAAGAGTACCAAACAGTACTCGTCGGCAATAGGATTAAACAGGACTTGTTGCATTAGCATGTTAGCCGCTAACAGTATCCGGCTGACCAACATCTGACCCTCACTCCAATCCACCTCTCAACCTTAGGACTTAGGATTAGGAAAGGCATAGGAGGTTTTTTGTTTGGAGGCTAAAGTTCTGGATAGACAGTAGGAAGCTGGGTTTTGTATCTAAGGTGGGAAATGTTGAATGTTGTTGTCCATTACTTTGTTTAAGAATTTTCTTTTTGGATGTCTTTCCACGCTTGCATTCTCTTTGATTTTGTTCGTTCTTCTACTCCGCATATAATATATGAATTCGGATCAGACAAGGCCCGGGGCAGAGGTTTGAGCTGCCGATGGCCGGACTGGTTGTCGGACTGATCGGTAGGGCAAAAAACAAAGGACAACACAATGCACAACGCTCTAGCCAACCTGCCTAATCTGAATTTGCTACGACGATATTTCAACAACTTTGAACTAAAAAGATTTTGAACTCGAGTGCAAAAAGAGATATGCTCTAACCAACTTGCCTAATCTACGTCTGCTACAACAGATGTTTATTCTGTATATTTTTACCATGAGAAAGAAAATTCACTATATACTGCTGCTCAAGGAAAACAAATCTCACAAATATTACAAAAATATGGGCCTTTAAACCCGAAAAGTTAATACAATCCATCAAATCATACCCAATCTCATGGGCTAGGATCCTAAGCGATCCAAGCCTTGACGGGCCAAATCCGACCCGGAATCAACCGTCAAGGCCCGCTCAAATGCGTCTATGGCTTCATCCCTCATGCCCTTCCACTCGTAACACTGACCCAAAAGACAAAATGCCGTCGCATCCCCCTCCGCCCGACCCAGCTTGACCGCATCCACCAGGTCTTCAACCGCCGAGTCCACCCGGCGCCTCCGGTTCAGCCCGAGCTTCAACTCGGCCCTCTTCACCAAAGCGTCCCCGCGTTCCTTCTCCGAGAGCGACTTCACGCAAGGCGGCGACAGAGCCACGTCGAGCGATTTCAGCGCGGAGGTTTTGTGCCCCAAGAGATCGAGCGACAGGGCTTTGAGGATGTGTGGGCCCGGGTCCCTGGGCGACAGAGACAGCGCCTTCTCGGCCTCGGTGAGGGCGTTTTTGGCGTGGGCCTGAGATTGGGCCTTGTGAGGAGTGGATCGGGCTCGGGTCAGGAGATGCGACCCGTGGACGAAGTGGCGGGTCGATTGGAGGTTGGCTCGGTTGTTGGTTCGGAGCTTGGTCAGGACGTTTCTGGAGAGATTGTGTATGGCGAAGAACATCGCTAGGGTTAGGATCAGAAGGCCGACCTGCAGCACTACCTCCGGTGTCATTAGATCGAACGGCGGTGACTGAATCCAATTGGATCTGGGTCGTTGATTTGAGTTTCGCACAGAGAACAGAGGCGAACTGAACCCTGGTGGTAAACTTACTGGTTGGTGTTTGCGTATAATGATGTGCAGGGTGCTTCTGCAAATATTTATTTTCGTTTGGGTCCCAAAATTTTCAATTATTACATTAATGAACCAATGCAAAGATTGATGACAAATTGATCAAGGAAAACATTCAACTTGATTCAGAATTGTTTACATGAAGAGAGAACATAAACACAGCCATCACGGGGTACATAAACACAACATCATGGGGTACACTGTTAAAAGTAACTTCCTTTTGCTAGATATTACGGCATGTTATGTTGCCAGGTTATCAATCCTGATCGTTCATCTAGTAGAGCGTCGATTGCGTTCAACGTCCGAATGTACAATTTTCTAATTAATTGTTTCACGACATAACATACCATGCCACAACGATAACAAAATGCCACTTTTCCTAGTATTCTCTACAAATACGTAGCAATCAATCAACAGTTGCTTCAGTTCGAGTGCCTGAGGAAAGATACAGCAAAAGGGTACTACAATCCCAAAACTTTCACACTGATAGCTACAAAACGAGAGGCTGCAGGAGAAAGAGCAATGGCAGTCTACTGATCCAACACCAGTTGCCGGTAGCGGTTGAGATCGGTGAGGTAGTTCGAACAAGTGTAATCTTCCAAGTCACATGCCTCTAGGACCAGTGATCTCACTGCTGTAGACTTCTTTCTCAACTGATCTGCGACGCCATCCTCGCCCTTCAGTATCTGCACTACCTGCACGCTCACAAATTCTCAACATTCGTCAAACTTGCATAACGGTTGGGCAAACAAATTAACTGGAAACAAGAAACTGATATCATACCCGATTCATGAATGGACGCTTTGTGGATTGATGACTGATGCACATTGAAGCCGTTACCATGGCTCTTTTCATCTCAATCGGATCATATGCATCCTCCAGCCGAGGATCTGCTAGCTTCTTCATATTACTCGCATCTAGAAGCGGCTTTGCCTATGTATAACACAAGAAAAATCGCCTATTGAACTTGCAATTTTATGATACATGGAGATGGGATTGAACTCATGATCTATCCTAATTCTAACGGCTTTTCCACTTCTGAATTTCGTAAAGGCAAAAGGGGCGTAAACACAGTAAGTTTTACATAACATTTGCTTACCCATATCACAAGGCTTTGCTGAGTTGAATCAACTGCACGCCGACCTGACAGGAGCTCCAGTAATAAAACCCCATATGCAAACACATCAGTCTTCTCGTCGACAATTCCATGCATGAAGTACTCTGGAGACAAGTACCTGAAACACTTGAAGGTTCGTAAGCCTGAAAACGTATGACGGATGAAAGTTAGCAATCATAACAAACGAACAATTGAAACTGCGAACTAACCCGAAGGTGCCTTCAATAGGGAATACAACATGGTGAGTCCATTTTTCCGGGAGCCACTTCGCTAGTCCAAAATCAGATATCTGCAATTACAGTTAAATAGAACTCCGATTATGTTTAGAAAATCCATACATGAGAAGTTAACCAGACCTGAAGAACACAAGAAATACCTGAGCTTCATAATCTTCGGTTAGTAATATATTAGAGGCTTTGATGTCCCGGTGAATGATGCGCCTGTGGCATTCGTGATGGAGGTATCGCAGACCTTGTGCTATCCCAATTGCTATCTTAAACCTGACCTTCCAATCCATACATTCTGACGTACCTGATACGCAGAATATCTTCTCATCAGCGAAACTAGAACGCGATACTGGAAGAAACAAACGGATTAAGAAAACGAAAACACAAATGCGGTACCAAAGAGTAGAGAAGCTAAGCTGCCATGTGGGGAAAATTGCAGGACAAGGTGCAAACCACCGTCGATGCCAAAGCCAAGTAGGCGAGCCGCATTCGGGTGTCTTATGTGTGCAATAATCCCAAGCTCTGCCAAGAAATCGCCAACTCGATCCTCGTTTTCTTTTTCGTTATCTTTCTTCATTAGCCTCTTTACTGCTACAACTGTTCCATTGTATAAGAACCCCTTGTAAACTTCTGCTTGCCCACCTTTGCCAATCAGGTTCTCTGCCAAGGATCATGCATTCACAACTCAATAAGTGAACTAACCACTTCAATTATTCGCGCGGCCTAGATAAACTATACATCATTTTCTGCTGTCAAAATAAATACATGATGATAAAGAAAAACAATAACATAAATTGGAAATATTTTGAAAAAATGGATCCAACAAAGTAGTTAGTAGCAGTAAAAATTTCACCTTTCATTTTAGTATGTTTTATCACTTTCCGGATGGGGATTATCACTTTTCCCATCGCCCTTGCTCGATAATAAAAGGATTTTTTTTAATTATATTTTTTATTTTATATTATAGAGGAGGTCGTTGAAACTATAAACCTAATCCTAGTAGTGGTAAAGCAGCCAGGTCCCACAGTTGATTTCCAAACAAAATTTAGTCAAAAAGTTGGACTAAAAACCGAGAGCGACTTACATAAAACAGAAACCGTCCCAACCGTCCTAATAATCCAAAATCTGATTCTATTCCCAAATGAATAACATAATGGAAAACAATGGCTCACCAGGTTTGAAATTGCCAGTAGCAGCAGCAAGCTCAGCGTAATCAAAGTTCCTCCATGACGGCTTCGCAACCGACATCTCATCAGCTTCTTCCTCCTCCTCCTCCTCCTCGGTGCTCCAAATCCGTGCCAGTCTCCTCCTCAAGTTTCTCCTGGACAGTTCGTAGCTGGCAGCTAATATTGGAATGGTCGAAAACCGCCTCGCTGACTTCTTCTTCAAGGCATCGAACATTCCCTTGCCTCTCATCTGCAACCCGTTGCTGCGCATTAGCGTCCTGTGCTGGCCCATCGTCTTTTCGGAACAAGATGACGAGGCGCAGCTGCTGCCGCTGTAGTCTGAGTCGGTGACAGGGATATCCAACACGCCCCTCGGTGACGGGTCTTCCTCGCACGACTCCATCTTCCTCAGACCGCCTTGTGATTCTGATTCCATTTCTGGGTTTCCTTTAGTTTCTCCTACGGTCTCTGCATTGCAATGCGCCACCAAATTGTTATGAAATGAACAAAACAAAAACAGAGCAAAAGCAAAACCAAGACAAATTTCTCACTACCTTAAGATTCTATGTTTTATTTTCGGTTTTTCAGGAACCAATATAACAACGAATGATTAGATTGGTTAGAATATCGCAATTTAGTGCAATTTTGTAGAACAGCACGCTCGTCCTTCTGCAACCCAATTTTGAGCAACAATTCTCGTAATTTAAATTAGATTAATTAGAACATCGCCTGAGTTAATAAATATATAGCGATGAAAGATTGAAAAATATAAAAACCCTTGAAGGGTTGCAACACAAGCCAAAAAAGGAAGAGGCGGAGGAGAAGCATATACAAAATTTTGTTCCTAAACTTTTCTTTTGCCTTTTCAGGTTGATACACCAAAACTTTCCATTCATTTTTCGCAGCCGGTCAGTTTCCCTGCACCCGCCCACGCAGGGTCACAACAACCGACCGGCCGCCGCAAACACACAAAAAAAGGAAAAGTAAAAACAGAGGAGGGGCAGAGCATACCTTCCACCGCCATGGTTTAGGCTTCGCAGGGTTTCCCAAATTACAGGGTAGGAATTCCGGAATGGGACCCCACTAAACCAGAAGAATAAAGAAGAGGCCCTCCTGAATACAAAAGGAGGAAAAGACTCAACTACATTGAGTTGTGGAGGGAGGGAGAGAGAGACAGAGACAGAGACAGAGAGAAGGCAGGAGAATAAGAAGAAAAAATGCAGAGGGCAAACTTTTAGAGAGAGAAGTAAAAATGGGATATCTTTAGGAGGTGGTTATTCTTGGAGGATCAATATAGGAAACCCAAATTCCCACCACAATTACCAACTTGGATGTCATTGGAATATATACACACAAATACCTACACACACAGAGATATATATATATATATATATATATATATGTATGTATGTATTTGTATATATATGTATATATTTTGCTATTTTTGTACACCTGCTCTTCTGTGTTTTGGTTTTGGATATGTTGTACCCAAAACATCTTAATTATTTAAATGGTTTTTTATTTTATTTTATTGGGTAGTGATGTAATCGCAGCCGTTGCTTTCAGGGATCGTGATTTTTGCCGTGATGAGAGGGGGGAGTGGGGAGTTAACAAACCAAAGGGCGGCTGCCAACGGATGTAATTTGTAATCTGTCTTATTTAGGAGCAAGTTAATTGAGTTTCCTTTTTTGTAAATTATTATCCATATAGTCTGTTAGACAAAGAATAAGAGATACGGTCTTGAATATGTCAACTCAGACAGAAATTTACACACAACAGCGTGTATACTTGTCTGTCTTTGTATCTCTTATCATATTATATAAGATACACTTTGGTCAAAGAAAGGTATGTCGTAACAACAAATATTAATGTCAACCATAGATGGTGTTTTACAACAGTTTTGGAAGACAATCATGCTGCATGCATATGCACTCTAGTGCGGGCTGCATGCATATGCACTCTAGTGCGGGTTTGGTTTCTAGCAATTCTCTTCCTCCTTAAACTAACAATTAACCCACTAAAAGCAACTCTACCCCTAAGTGTGACAATTATTTCCTTAATGAACAATAATGCCCGAGTGCATCTTCACCTTGTTAACTGAATGCCGGGCCAATTAATAATAAAATTTTATTTTTCAAAAAATAAATAAAAAAGTAATCTTATCTTATTTTTCTTTTTCTTTTTTCTTTTGTTTGTTTTTGTCTCTTTTCCTCCCTCCCTCCCCTCTCCTTCCTTTTCTTCCTCCGTCTCTCCCTCCCCTCCCTTGTTTTCTCCGTCCATCCTTCCCCTCTCCCTTTTTTTCTTCCTCTCTCCATCCGTCCCTCCCTCGCTCCGTATGGCCTACTCTTTCTCTCTCCCCCTCTCAAAACTTAGAAATCATGGGAGCCATAGCCATTGACAAGGCCTCCCCAGCTTCCTTTCTCTACCCCAGAAAAGCCGGATTCCTCCACTTCGTCTTCTAATCCAAATTTCTCGACTGCAGGGAAGCCAGACTCCTCCCTCGCCATCGTCT